TGACAACTAGAGAGAAAGGGCATTATAAGACAGAGATAGGAAAAAAAGATATAACAAAGTGATTTTGTAAATGAACCTGACCAAAAAATTGGCATGTAAAAATAGGGAGTGAAAGAGAAGAAATTTTAAAAAGTTTCTAAAATGTGCCAGCAAATAGAAGATAAAATAACAAGGAAATACATGATAAGAAAGGAAGAGAGGGACCAGGGATTTAGCTCAGTGGTGCCGCCGCCTGCCTCACAAGAGCAAGGACCCGAGTTCGATCCCCGGTACCAAAAAAGAAAGGAAGGGAGGAAGGTAGAAAGAAGGAGAGCAGGTGGACAGGAAGGCAGACAGGTACAGAAGAGAAACAGGATAAAGGGAACGAGAAAACAACAGAGAGTAGGGCTAAGGGGAGGAAAAATGAAGGTGGGGAGGTGTACAAAATGCAGAAAGTAGGTGTCTCTTCTTTCCCCATCTTTATGCTCTTTATATATTTGTATGTTCTTTATATATTTAATCAGATCTAAAATAAGAAAATAAAGATGGAAAAATAAAACTAAGAGAATGAAAGAAGTTTTACAAGCAAGAAAGTGTCAGTAAGAATAAAGTACATAAAAATAAAAAGAGAAAGAAAAGAAAAATAAATAGAAACAAAAGAGAGAAGTTTAAAAACAAGAAGCTTGTGAAAAGGCAACAAAAAGAAAGACAATAAATTTTTTTAAAAGGGGCCAATAATTGTTTCATATAAAGGGGGAGGAAAGACAGAAAGAAGTAGGATGTTTAACGATAAGTTCTAAAAGAAGGAACCACTGGTGCAGAAAAGAAAGAAAAATAAAGAGTGAAAGAGAAAGGAGAGTGAGGAAAGAAGAAAAGGGGAGGAAAAGGGATAAAGAAAGAAAATCAGAAAAGAAAATATTTACTAAATGAAAATGTGTGCAAAAGGAAGTTTTACTAGGGGGAGCTAGTAAGAATAGACAATATGAAAAACAAGACAGAAGGAAATTTTTCTGAAAGAGGGGTCAGGAAGAAAAGCTTGGAGTTCAGTTGGGTGAAACAGTGGCCATAGTGTTCTGCCTCTGAAATGATGGATATATTCCAACAGCTAACTTTCACTTCTAGTAGAAAGAAGGTTTCAGATAGGCACCCTATACTGTGCCACCTCAAATATTTTCTGAGAAAGAAAATATAAACTGAAGGTCACAATATTACCGAGATCGTTGCCACTGCGGCCCGGAGTGTCTCCAGCAGTCACTACACTGGTCTATATCCTGTACAGAGAAAAAAGCTACGCTTTCCTTGAGCAGGATGTAGTTTTTCCTTTCTCCCAGAAGACAGTTCTGTCTTGTTAGAGTTAAAGCATAGCTTTAAGTACATGAGGTAATTTTATAAATATCATTGTCCTTCCTTTGCCACCTCATCTCTATATCCTAGGATCTCTCAACCTTGCAACTATTGACATTTGGGGACACATAATCCTTTGTTTATGGTGGAAATTCTATGTAGGGTAGGATGTTTAGCAGCATCCCCAGCCTCTAACCAAACCAGAAACAGCCCTGCACCATTTGTGACAATCAGAAAAGTCTCTCTACATTTCCAGATGTTCCCTGAAGAACAAAATTGCCTCCCCTTGAGAGCCACCGACTGTCCTCTCCAATTTCTGCCACAAGCCTACATAGATTGACATATGGCTCTTCCTTTATTGGCCATGAAATGATAAACAGAATCAATATGGGATATTTTTGTCATCTCCACTGTTTAAATAAACATCTTTTTTTAAAGCTTTTATTCCACAGGTAAAGAAAATGAGTTACACTGCCACTGACCAGAAAGCACAGTGAGGATGTCAGGAACCAAAACGTAATTGAAATGTTATGATTAGAAATTAGTGATTTTTGGAAATACTGGTATTGGATAACAACCTCTTCTATTTATAATGCATCCTCTATTCTTTTTTTATCAAATGATGGATTTTGCATAATGCTTACCAACAATGTCACAGTCTCTACTGCTGTCTGGATTAGATTTCTAATTTCTCAGTTAGTGTCACTCTCTCCACACTCCCATGAACAGGGTAGCCCACATTTTTCAGCTGACAACTCTCCAAGCACAGTTCAGAATCCTGACTTTCCCACCACCCCTGCTCCTGATCTCATCTCTGTTCTTTTCTGTGCCCAACAAGATCCTGAAACATTTCTTCAGCCTGAGCCTCACTAGCTCTGCCACCCCTTGCTCAGTAGTTCTGCCTACTACAAGGTTTGTACCCTCATCTCATTTGCTCCACCTTACAGACTGCTGAATGGAGGTGCTGCCATTTCTGGAGCCTGGGGTCCCAGTGACCTAGTGAGGACCAAGACCCTGCCAAAGCTCTTTCTCAATACCTGCCTTTCCTTTGGCTTTGATCTTTGCAGACCTATAGTAACTTACATCACTTCACTAGCAGCAGAAATATTTTATTCTGCCACACACTTTTCTGCAGCAGTGGAGTGTTGCCCATTCTTGTTCCCCTGTTCCTTTAAGAAAAGGCCAACTGAGTAGTGGCTGTTGTCATTTTAAATTCCTTCCCACTTCTCAAGTAGGCCTCCTTCACACGTGGAGAACCAGGACTATCTGCTGCATTAAAGTGTGTTCCTTCCTTTTGCTCTCTAGGTCAGTCATTGAATTTTCTAACAGATTCCTCTAGATTCAATCTTTGTGGACCCGCTAATGGCTCAGACTTTTAAGGAACCACTCCCTCCTTCTGTTTCTTTCCCAAATGTGGTGTTCATGTCTGAGGCAAGAAGTGTGGCTGATGTACTTACTCCTCTAAGTGTCAGCACCATAAGCATCACCTAGAAACTTACTAGAAATGCAGATTTTCAGTCCCCTCTCCAGATCTATTGACCCCTAGGCGCTTCCTATGCACATTGAAGTTTAGGAAGCATTGACCTCCATGACCCCACGGAAGCTAGACAGAGTCAGGGTACTTGGATGAATGTCCTCTGCCTCCCCTGGTCTCCAGAGAGGTGTTCCTATCCACTATAAGAGTGCTTGACCTGTTGACATTCACACTTAAAGTCTGCCATCAGTTCATGACTCATACTTTGGTCTCCCTGGCTTAGTGGAGATCTCTGGCTTTCCCTCCCACAACCCAATTCCGTGCTGACTGCTACCACATGACACTTAAGATATAGTTCTCTCAGGCCAGGGATTAGCTCAGTGGTTTCACCGCCTGTCTTGAAAGTGCAAGGACCCAAGTTCGATCCCTGGTACCAAAAAAAAAAAAAGATATAGTTCTCTCATCTCCCGCACAGTGACTCCCCCTAACAAGCTCCCTGGCCAGATTCTCAGATTCTCATCCCTCTCTGGGCCATGTCTACACTACATGGGAACAGAGAAAGGCCTATGAAAGTAAAATCTCAGGACCTTGATGTGCCTGACCACACTGTGATACAAAGGTGCCCCAAGTGAGAAGAGGCAAGGGTGAGGGTAACAGAGAGATCTCTTTCTGGAGTCCTAAATGAAAAATAGAGTAGTAGTCTTTCTTGTTTGCTTGCTGTATTAACCTCACTTAAACAAGACCCAGAGCAAGGCACACAGGAAGCCACAACTGATTTCGTTGCCCTCCAGCCTTTCTGTCTCTCCGTCACCCTTCCATTTTCCCACCACTTCTGTGCTGCTAAAGGAATGACATTTTTTAAGTCATTTTCCCTAACTTATATCCCCCTTCTTTCTGACCCCAGATAACTCTTAATGGTGAACACAGGTATCTCCATACAGTATACTACAGAATTTTCTAAGGTTTCCAGACTTAGGAAAACTTACCAAAGGAAGATAATATTTAGGCAAATTCTTAAGACACTTGCATGGCTTGCTAGGCATACCGTCTTGCTGTGTCATCCTATTTTTGGATGGGATGTGCTGAATGCTACCTGGATATGTATCATGGCATCCCTCGTGTTACACATTCTAATCTCCTTGCCTCCATAGCCCCCCGCAAGTGTAGATGCCTATGGAAGACTAGGGCAAAGGGCATTTAAGGACTCAAAAAAATGTGAAAATTGTATATAGTTTGTGAAACAATAGCCCTGTTGCACAATGGTGGCTTCACATCTGTCAAGCCTCCAAACAAAATATGAATATGGGTCCCCAGACCTATACCCTGAAGACATACTCATTGTAAAATATAGAACATATGTATCATACAATAGCCTAATAAAATGGGGAAAAGGCATGAACAGAATTTTACTGAAGAAGATGTACAGATAGCAAATAAGTACACAAAGCTGTTCAACATCTTTAGTCATTAGGGAACTGCAAATAAACCACAATGAGCTATCACTACAGAATGGCTAGAATTTAAATAATTGATTGTACCAAGTATTTGTAGGGATGTAGCACAACTAGAACTCTCTTACATTGCTGGTGAAAATTTAAATGACACAACTACTGTGGAAGACAGATGTAAGTTAAATTTACTTCTACCATATGATCCCATTATTCCGCCCCTAAGCATGTGTCCAAAAGAAGCCAAAATATATGTCCACGTCAAGAGTGGCATGCCAATGTTCATGACAGCATTATTTGTAACAGCCCCAAACTGGAAACAACCTAAATGCTTTTCAATGGGTAAATGGAGAAACATGTTCATACATAAGATAGAATACTATTCAGTAACAAATGGAATGAACTATTAATACAGCTGTCAATATTGGTGAATCTCAAAATAATTTTCTTGAATGAGAGAAGATAGGCAAAGAAGAATACATCCTGTTTGGTTCCATTTATATGACATTCTTGGAAATGGAAACTAATTTATAATAAGAGCAGGATGAGTGGCTGCTTGGAGTATGAACTGCAAGGGAGTACAGAAAAATTTTGGGGGGTGATGGAAATGTGTTCATTTGATTATGATGTTGGTTCTATGGGTTTATATGTGTCAAAACTGAAAAAAACATAGATTTTTAAACACTGCAATTTATTGTACTTCAATTCTAATTTTTGTTTTAAAATTACACAATTTCTCTTTTATTTACTTTCAGAATCAGTTCACTTTCCTAAAAGTAATAACAAGATTTCTGCTCAGAAATTATCCACCTCATTACCCTCTAAGCAGGATGTACAGAATAACGCAATAGAACAAAAGGTAGAAAGTTGTATATTTCATATTTTTTGTATTAATCATTAGTTTATCTAATTAACTTTTATTTCTATGAAATAGCCCCTTTGCTGGCTTGGTACTTACTGGTTAGGGATCATGGGATCCTACACAGGGTTTAACTCTTTTGCTGGCAAAGTTGTTGAGTCAGCTTCAAGCTAAATGTGCCATGTAGTTTACCAGAAAAGAACTTAAACATATGATGATAAAGATGATGATGATGATAGCTAACATTCTTGTGGGCCAGATCCTGTGCTAAGCTAGAAAGAAGAGAAAAGGGAAAATGTAGGTGACGTAGGATACAAAGATGAAAAAGACACAGTCACTATCTAAAGGTCAGGCATACTTAGACAAAAGTCCTTAAAATAAAATGAGAGGAAAGTTTTAATTTGTACAAAGTGCAGTGGGAATACAGAAGACCTAAAGACTAATCCTGCCTAGAGAAGTCTAAAAAGACTTTCTTAAAGAAAATGTAATTGAATTAAAATGTAAGAGGGAATTTTCCAGATGAATAGATGTGTGAATACAGTGAAGCAGAATTGCAGACGAGTGAAAGTGTAAATGAAAGCATGGTGTGGTGAGCAAGCATAGCCAGACAAGTACAGAAGATGAGAATGAAAATGTAGGTTGAAGCCAGAACCTTGTATACCTCACTGAAGAAGTATCCCTTCAGTAATAGGGAGCCACTGGAGGTTTTTCAATAGGGATGTGAAAAAAAAAAAGAATGATTTGGGATTCCAAAAAGATAATCTAGTTGCAGCATGTGAGATAGATGGCAGATAAAATAAACATGAGGGGTAAGATAATTTGAAGTCTGCTGGGATAGTCCAGATAAAATGTAAGAGCTCAAACTAAGATGATGACAATTAGGGTAAGAGGCCACAGATTCAAGATATTTCACAGTTAGACTGCTTCTTTTTATTTTTATTGGTACTGTACATGCTTGCAGCACATAATAACTACATTTATCTTGGAGAGTTGGTACATGTACATAATAGGAGAAATAATGGAGAAAGGGAGATGATGATGATGATTGATTGTATGAGTTAGATTTTCTATTGCTGTACACAATATCCAACGCTCACAACTTAAGGAAGGGAAGGTTAAATTTGGTTCATGGTTTAGGGTGATTTTTGTCCATGGTTGGCTGACTCCAAGGCAGAAGCACCATGGCAGAAGGGTATGGCAGGGCACTGCTTAGTTCATGGCTGCCAAGGAGCAGAGCAGGGCAACAGTGTCAGAGAGGAACTGGTGAGGGAACATATGGTACCCAAGGCTGTGCCTCCGTGACCCACCCACACACACCCAAGTGTATGCTTTACTAATTTGCTAGGTATTTCTTAATCCAATGAAGTTGACAAATCAGGATTAATGGTTAGAATGATAATGCTGTTTCAGTTTTTATGTACAGGTCTTGTACAGGTCTTGATGAATGAGATATCTTTTTTCTGGGCTCCCATAGTGCTCAGACTTACTTCTATCTCAGAACTCATTATACTTTGTCATATCTGTCTATTCTACAGGATAATAAGTTTAAGGTCAGAAATTATATATCTTATTTCAGTTCCAAACAGTGTACCCAGTAAGCATTAAATTGGATTGGATTGGCCTTATCTGAAATAAATGGAACAATTCCAAGCTTTTTAGAATGGACCACAGGGTAGATTACTATGCCTTTAACCAAAATAAGGACTAAAGGCAGAGAAACAAGTTTGGAAAAATGAGGTACCCAAGGCTTCATTTGGAATGAGTTAGGTTTAGGTATCTGTGAGAGGTATCAAGAAGGTTGATAATATGGATTAGGATTGAGACCAGTGCTTAGGAGAGCAGGGGGCGTTGGGGGATGGTACTGTATTAACTTGAGTGCTCTGGAGTAGGCAAAAGTCTCTTTTTAGAAGCTTAAGTACTAGTGAATATTTTTCTTTTGAATACTATCCACACAGAAGCATAAGAAAACAACTAAAAAATCAAATCCTTTTAAAAATACAGGTAAGAAAATGAACAATATTTCTGTTCTGCTATCTTTCAGCTACATATAGTTTTTGTCTCAAGGTTTTTGAAGTTATGCTTTTTCCTGATTATAAAATCCATGCTTTTTTTGGTACTGGAAAATTACAAATTACTCATAATTATAAGTATTATTATCTTACATTTTTGAGTATTTGTTGGGTGAATAGGCCCTTTGGGATTTACAAGGTATGCAGATATTAGAATCTGTGTTATGGCTGCTTATCTTGATAGACAAAGTAAGTTCCTAACATACTATACTGTGATTTGGAAATTCCAGTACAAACAATTCTCCCCAAGAAGATCCCTAGCCTCTACTGCCATCTTTCTCCCCAAACATATAACTGCATCCTGTTTTCCATATCTCCAGGGATAAGTGTCTGCTAGTTTTTTTTGTTGTTGTGTATTTTTTTTCCCAGTACTAGAGATTGAACCCAGGACCTTCACACTGAACTACAACCCCAGCCCCTTTTTTTTTTTTCATTTTTCATTCTGAGACAAGTTTTTTCTAAATTGACCAGGCTGGGCTCAAACTTGCAATCCTCCTGCCTCAGCCTCCAAGATTACTAGGATTACAGGTGTGGTTCACCATACCCAGCTGTCTCTGCAAAAGCCTCCCATGTATATTCTGCCCTCATACACACATACACACTTATGAAGAATCCTAGGACATCTCCAACCAGGTGGCCATCAGGCCCTTCAAATCTAATGTGCACAAAGCCAACTGTAACAACTTTCGGTAAACACAAACCCTGTTCTCTGCTCCTCCTATTTTTGTCCAATCACAAAACCTGACTCATCTTTGACTTTTTCCTATTGCTCATATTCCATGTCCCAAAGTTTTCACATTCTAACCTACTCTTTAAGTCCTCATAACTTCCCTTTTCTATTTGTGTCACTCCTGCCCTTAACTACTGCAATAATTAGTCTTTGATCTCTTCCTCTTTAACCTATGCTAAATGTTGTTGTGAGTGGAATCTTCCTGAAAGACAGCTTTGGACACCCATTCCTGTACTTGAAAGTCCTCAGAGGTTTTTCTTTGCCTGCTGAATAAAGTGCAAAACAGTTTATTCTGCTGGAGTGGTAGGTGGGTGAGGGGAAATTACTCTGGCAACGGAAGTTAGAGCCAAAGATTAGGGAGTTGAGGCTTATCCTTGGAGCAACCGTGAACCAGTGGACATTTATAAGCAGAGGAATTTAAAAAGGCATCAAGTCATCTTATCCATCTACTGCCTTACCTTGAAGAAATAAATACATCCTTGATTCTGGTAACTCTAGATAATATGGCAGCCTAGCAAAGAGAATTATATCCTTTTCTCATATTTAACAGTACCTCTTGTTTTCCCCAGGAATAAAAAGTGCCTTCATTCATTTTGAAGTTGTTACTTCTAAACCAAGTGTCCCCAGACAATCTCTACCGAGTATTCCAGAGCAAGCAACAAGGAAAACTTCTTTCTTACCAGATGCAGACAGAACCAAAAAAGTATGAAATTATGATCAAGATTGATATAAAAAATTTCATTCATTAAATGACCACTTTAAAAAGCCTTATTTTCTGAAGTGAACCATTCTACTGTAAGATTTTATAAAAATTAAAATGCAGACTCAGTAACAGTCCTGGGTTACTTGTCTACTGACACCCATGTTTATCAGTTATGTTAGGGTTGCTACACTGAAACTGTAGAGAGTGCCAATAATAATTTGTAAGCTGGCAAAAGAAAGCCTGAAGTTTTAAACTGTTAGATCCAAAATTTCAACATTATAGTTGCCTCAGTTGTGTGTGTGTTGTGTATTGTGCATGTATGTGTTGTGTAGTGTGTGTGTGCGTATTACTGGGGATTGAATCCAAGGAGCACTGAGTTACATCTTCAGCCAATCTTTTAAGTTTTATTTTAAAACAGAGATTTGCTAAGTTGTCCAGGCTGACCTCAAACTTGCCATTGTCCTTTCTCAGGCTCCCTAATAGCTGGTATTACAGGTGTGCAGCACCACACCCAGCTTGGCTTGGTTCTTTATAGTGATCACCTGAAGCAACTCGAGTGTTCCCACTCAGTAGCCCTCAGTTAGAAGCCCTCTAACGGGTGGGCCACAATAACTTCAAGGTACCTGCTTGTGCCCTGCAGAGGAAGCACCACATTGAGTGCTTGTGAATCACTTCGTTAGTGCTGATGGCATGCAGAGACAGCCATATTGTCTCACTGCCCCCTTTGTCACCAGTGTTCAGCCATTGAATATTGGAAATTTAGTAGCAGATATTCACAGTGCAGCCTCTGGTCACAGCACAGATTGTCTCTGTAGCTGCCACTCTGTTGTTATTATGGGAATCATACCCACCTCACAGTCTTAGCTCTGTTAGCACTGTTTTAACTGCTTCCATTGCTCTAAAAAAATAACATGGCTTAAGAGAGATTTCATTGTGGAGGAAATTTACTGAAGCCTTCCTAAATGAATTCTATATAACTAAAGTAGAAAATGGCATCATTTGCTACATCCTATGTTAAAAGCATAGTGACAAGACACCCTTATGTGTAAAGGCTAAAATGTCACATGTCAACCATAATATGCTTCTCTGCATAAATGAACATTTATGAAATACCTGCTGTGCACAGGCCACTGTGCTACTATATCAATATTCATAATCAGTATGCTCATTGTCTAAAGAAAGAAACTTAACTTTGAGATACTTGAGTAGTTGCACATCAGGAGTTAATTCATTTTTTTTTATTAGCTTCAGTATAGGGACAGAAAGAGTCCCTGTAGTATAGCATGGATGGTAAACTTAATACCACCTATTTTACCTAAAAAGTCAATAAAAATTTAGACCACCAGTTTTTAAAAGAGATTTTGAAATAAGTTGGACAATATGAGTACATTAAATAATCATAAATACCTCATTTGTTTTGAGAAATAGCATGAACACTTTGGTCACAGTAGTATATTATACTAGTTTTCAACTTGTTTCTTCCCTTCCATTAGTGGTAGGAAATGTACTTCTGGTGGCTTCTTTCAGCTTTCAGACCTGGAAAAAAAGTAAAGTACTTTGTTGGATTTATCTCCCCATATAGTTACCCAAAGAAGTAGAGAACTTGGCTACATCAAAAAAAAATCACATTCCATGTAGGCGAGGAACCTGCTCTCTGCCTGCCAGATCTCTAAAAACATTTTCCCCTAGTTAGCTGTTTAATTGATTAGCTTCCATGCCTATCAGTGTTTTACATAGTTACTTTAGAATATCAATGAACTCTATTTACCTTTGAATTCTTCAAATAATACATGTAATATAAACCAAATAAAATATGGATATTTTTATAAATAGGCATTTAAAATAAGTTCTTAACTCATTTTCTTAAATTTTTGGATTTTTAATGTGAAAAATAGAAAATGTACAAATCCTCTAAAAACTTCGATACTAGGTTTGTTTCATTATTTTTATTATTCTTATGTCATATATAGGTGATTTGTGCTGATTTAATTAGGAAGAAGACCAAGAAATCAAGCAACAGTCATAAGTCAGGTAAACATTAATAATTGTTATTAAGCAAATCTTGTAGTCCACTAATTCATTCACTCAGATAACATTTATTGGGCTTCTACTACACACCAGGCACTGTGTCAATTATTGAACAAACAAAATAGCAAAGACCATGGTCTCTACCCTTGGATTTTACATTTCAGTGGGAAACATTCATGTCAGTAATCAACCCAATAGGATAAGTATATAATGGAGGTGTGTATAAAGTCTATTGGAAGGATAGGAAAACATTCACAGAAGAAACCATAATTAGCTGAGACATGAAGAATGAGAAAGATTATTCTAGGCAAACAAATGAAACACTGTAGAAAAAAATCTTACAGGGAAGAGGAATGCATTTACTAAGATACAGACATTAAAGCATGGTGTGTTTTGTAGAAATGAAAATTGTTTCAGAATTGCTTTAGCTAAAAGTTCAAAGTAGAGAATTGTAGAAGAAAAATCTTAACTGGTAAATAAGGATTGAATCATTAAGATTCTGGTAGGCTATAAAAATCATTTACTTTTTATCCTATTATCAAAGGAAAACTATTGAAGAATATCAGAATTTGCCTTTGCAAAAGAGGAAAAATGGAATTAGATTGGACTCAAAGAAATAATAAAATAATAAAGCTTTATTAGGTTATAGCCTGTAAATCTGTACCATATTGAAGTCAAGGTTTTCTTTGTGGCCAAATATGTGATTTATAATTGAAAGTGTTTCATGGACATACCAAGAATATCTATTTCCTATCTGAAAGATGTAAATCTATAAATGAATATTAAATTATGTTTAATGATTATATTATTCAATGCCTTTACTGATTTTTGTGTATTAGATTATCTTTTCTTACTGTCTACTAGATGTTTCCATCTATCAGACAGGTGTACTGATGTTCTCCACTATAATTGCATTTACATCAAATCCCCATTGCATTTCTAATAGATTTAACACATTTAGGCTCTTCGAGATAGTTAATCCTCCAATTTTCTGAAAACAATAGGTTTTTTAAATTTTTTTAACAGCTGCATTAGATATCTTTTGTTGAGTAATAAATTACCCTCCAAAACTTGGCACCTTAAAAATCTCTGATAGTAGGGTTGGGGATTTAGCTCAGTGGCACCGTGCCTGCGATGCAAGCCCAAGGTCCTGATTTCAATCCCCAGTACAAAAAAAAAACAAACCTGTGATAGTTTCTGTGGTCAGAAGTATGGAAGCAGCTTAATTAGGTGGTTCTGATTCAGTGTTGCATGAAGCTACAAAATATCATCCAGGAATGTTATAGGCATCTGAAGATTTGGCTAGGACTAGTAGATTCATCTCTGAGGTGGCTCCCTCACAGGACTATTGGAAAGAGGCCTCAACTCCTTATTGGCTATTGGTCTCAACCTCATCCTGTGGACCTCTCCACAGGGCTCATGATCCAGCAGTTGATTCCCCCAGAAGTCTCAGAAGTTACACACCATCACTTCCACTGTATTCTACTGAATAGAAACAAGCCGCTAAGTCCAGCCCACATTCAAGAAGAGAATTAACCTCTCCCCTTTGGAGGGAGGAATATCAAAGAATTTGTGGATATGTTCTAAAACCATGACAGTATCATTTTCACACTTAATTTCTCAGGCTTAAACACTATTAATTTCAGATCCTTCTTTTCCAAAACTTAAACGTACATAAAAACACATTCATACCCAAAGAAACTCATTAAAGTATGCAGAATTTAAGTAAAATATTTTAAGTAGATCATTGGAATGTTTTGTGGTACTGGTAATCAAACCCAAAGCCTCATGCATCCTAGGTACGCACTCTACCACTGAACTACACCTCCAGCCCTGATCATTGCAATTTACTGGCTACTCACAATATGCTTCACGTTTATTGGAAGAAAAAAATAAATACAAAATCATCTTGACTTTGAACCAGGACCTAATTAGTAACACTACTTTCTATTATTTAGAGCTTTCTGTTTGTCTAGACTTTCATTTAGTCAAGCCACATGCTTAATTGACATAGACCATCCTAGAATTCCTATGGACATGTACTAAATGAAGGCTTGCTTTAATATCATTACCCAGAAATATTTACTAAAATTCTTTTATGGGACTAGATGGAATACAAACATGTTAGATGGTGTTTGAGTGGGAAGAAAATAATGATATGCAGACTAATGAACAAGAGAATTCATTCAACAAATAAATGTTATTGAGTGCTTACTATGTTCCAGGGACTGTAAACTCATCATTATAATACAACACAGTAAGTCCTATAATAGAAGGATATATAGGCTGTTTCAGGAGCATTAACAGAGGATGTGCAGATAGATTTTAAGGAAGTCTCTTTGGAGTAGGCAACATGAGCTGAACAAATCCTAAAGAATGAGACGTTTAAAAGAGGGATATTAGAGTTTCAGACAAAGGAAATAGAACAAAAACCTTGAGGTGTGAAACACATGATTATGTTTATGGAGCTGCATGTTGCTATGTACTCTTGAGCATAGAATATATGTAGGACAGGGATCAAAGATTATGCTGGCAGGGTAGGAGAGGGCCCAGATTTTAACATTCATTTTATGATCGAAGGAGTCCTTGGATGGTTGAAACAGAGCAAATGGTAGCAGAGAATAAAAACCTAGTAAGATATTCTAATTATCATTTTTACAAGTAGTATATGAAGGATACCAACAAACAGTAATTTTCTTTTTTCTGTCTAAAATTCTACCTGCAGCACAGAAAATTGAACAGTCTCATGATTCATCACATAAATATCAAAAAAATTAATAAATTTACAAATTATTTTAGTAATTACACAAGAATGCAGCTTGAGAGCAGATTTCTATCATTCTCTCTTCATTCTTGTAGTTCTACTTGTATTTAGTGAATCTCCCGTCTTTTGTAACCTGCCAGGACCAAGCTAAAAATGTAGTCATTCGTGCTCTTCTACATCTTTCTGTCTGTTCTCACTTTGGTTCTATGCTCTTTCAGCACCCAGGGTTTTCACTCCCCTCTCAGGTAGAACCCTATCACCACCTCTCCTCTCCAGATAGATTTCCAGGATTTGCATCTATCTTTTTCTCATTTTCCTGGTTACAGGTGCATTTTTGCTTATACCATTTGAGGTTATTGCTTTTCTAATAATAAAATAATTTGCTATATATAGAATTAATTTCTGCTACCCCGTTTTGAGGATATTTGCACTATAATCTAAACTACTCAATCTCTAATGATGGAAAATAAAGTCCAGTGCAGAGGACTTTTATTTTTAGCCTATGGGCCTTTCTGCCCTCAAACCTTGATGAACACCTGTTTTGCTAATATCCTGTTCTTTACCACCTGGAACAATATTTCATGCATATGAAATAACTCAATGGAATGCACATATATTTTAAATACCCAACAAACAAATGAAGTACAGAATAGGCTTTATAAATTCCAAATTACAATACAAATGGTTGGTTGCATGGTAGTAAATTGTGTCGACCAAGCTTCCTAGAGAAGGAGTTTGACCTAAGGACTGATGGGTGTTAGTTTGTCTGGCTTACTACTTGCTCCTGAGATTCAAATATATCATAGGAAATAAACTCATTAGTCCAAATATCAGATAACTTTATATATAAATGCAATAGAGTAATAATTACATGCAGTTTATAAAGGGTCAATGCCGCCTCTCTTTTTCTCTTTCCTCTATCCTAAACCACAGAACTACAAAATCACGTGTCTTTCTTAATAGCAAAAAATCTTGGATATGATTTTATTAAAAATCTTAGCTCAAGTAAACTCAATCATGATGAAGAACTCACATATGACCTGGAGCTGCCTCAACATTCCTCTGAAATATATGGAGTTAAAATACCTTTACCCATACCTGGATAGCATAGACCAGAGTTCATGTACACACACACACATGCACACCAAAAAAAAAAAGCTAGCTTTCAACATCATTTCAGCTGGCACTAGCACCCATGTCACATTCTCTTACTTTATAAATAATAATGCATGTTTAAGGCATTTGCCTTCATCCTCTTATTCTGATACAGCTCTTCCATAAGATTCACCTGTGGACATACCATAGCTGTTCCACCATGTACATCCTCTCTATTCTAATCCTTCAGTTGCTTAGTTCTCTGTTTTTCTAGCACTTTCACAATAAAATATAATTAAGGACCAAAGAAATCAAGATAAGAGGAAGAAAATGTGAAGATAGTGGTAAGGATAAACAGTTGAAACAATTGAGCTTTGTGTTAGATAACGAGCATGTTCTCATGATTGAGATAGAAGAGAGGAGGAGAAGTAGAGTCAAGAAGGCAAGAGTCTGTTGCGCTAAAGACTGCATTTTATTCATTGGGTGACAGTCTGATGGTTGTGAGGAGGAATGGGACATTCTTGAATCAACATCCCTGCTGAATACCTCTGCTAATAACATGTATGACAAATTGAAGACAGTTAGCTAGAAGCTGGTTGTACAAGTCCATTAGTTATTTGTGGTCTGCACAAAGGACTCAGTGTTGGAGCAAAGAGAACTATGTGTAGATCAAAAACATTAAATGGAAATTTGTTTACCAAACTTTCTTGGGATCCTACTATGTTGACAGCATAGTGCTGGATGTCAGTTGGGTACCAAGATCAATGAAGCACTTCCCCTGGCCTCACTTGTGTCCTACAATGTATCAGGAGGAAAAACAGGAAGACATAAATAATACCAGAGAGTGAGTTGAGGACAAAATGGTGGTAGATAAAATGTCAGCCACTCATGGAACTGCTTAGAAAACTGATATTAGGACACAGATGTGGTGCTTTCAAATCCCCTCTCCTCCCAGCTACTTTAAATAGTAAATAATTTGGGAATAGAATAGACTATGTGGGAAAAAACCCAAAACATAAATTTAAAAAAGAATAGACCATGTGGTCTAGTTAATCAGGAAGTGTTACAAATCATCCCAAAGCTATGGACTTAAGATACAAGTAGAATAAAATTTAAACCAATCAAATTTAAGACTTAGATATTCAGAAGGATTAAGCCAACTGCTTAAAATTTAGTCTTGTTACATTAATCTTCAGTGGGTGGTGGCTGGCCAGCCAAGTGAAGATATCCTTAAGGTATCTTCAGGATTAAGTAATGATATATGGAGG